TTATTTCCTCTCATACAGCTCCTCAGTAAATTGAGATTATATAGACATAATTTAATCAGAGCCCACATGACATCTTCATTTGAAGCCACACCAAATGACTCAATTGAACTATGCTTCCAGAAAAACACACACAATCTTTTTGGAAACTGGCATGCGATGATAGACCCTACATCCCTGCAGTGTGAGATTAGTATGGAGAACTCAGGAATCAAAAGGGAGCGATTTGTCCATGGCAAAGGGCTGATGTTGATGTTTCCCAAACCAGATCACAATACCACTACCTTCAGACAAATATCATATCTCCACAGTGGAATTGGATCTTTGAAAAGTTGGATCGGGTCCATGGTTCCCATAATGCCCATGAATTCCTGAGCCATCTCTGAGTGTGGAAAATGTTTTTGCCAAACCAGCCACAAAATTAAGGAGCTTGGGCAGAGATACTGCTACATTGGAAAGAGGGGGTAAACAAAAAAAAAATCACAATTCCAATCTCTATGGTCTGACCTCACTGACAGAGTCTCAGTTACATTCTTTACATTGCAGCAAAGTTCTATAGGAATATAACAACATCCTTCAAGAATCCTATAAGTAATACATACGGAACATGTGGGAAACCAGAAAAAATAAGACCATTCAAGAGAATATATGGAGGTGTCAAGTCAGTTTCTGGCAAACATCCATGGCAAGCATCTCTTCAGAGGAAGATTTCAGCAGGTGTACCAAAGGGACATTATTGTGGAGGAGTATTGATTGAGCCATGCTGGGTTCTTACTGCAGCACATTGTATCACGTAAGCATACTTGTTGGATTCAGTTAATTTTCTTTTCATTTTCTACAAATGCAAAAAAAAAAACTCCACCCTAACTGTTTGATTTCATCCATCCTATAGATAGAAGAGTCTAAAGTGCATAATTTTATACAGCAAAAGTCAGGGAAAGTAGCCATTTCAAGTGGATAATAAATAGGATTGTGCTATGTCTTTTCATCTGACACATAGCCTTATTTCTTTTATATAGAATAACAGCAATATAAAATTCTGAAAAACACCAACTTTGTCTTTTGCTTCTAGGATAATGTGTTTGGACTAGTCTTATCTTTAAAGTCTATTATTTTATAATTTGACAACCTGTAGTTATTTTTATAATTATTTTGTTATTGTATAATTGTATACTCTTCTTAGTATGAGGTAACCCACTAGAAACAATTGGTATGATGATGAATTCATATGAAATTGATGCAGTTCTCTGTAATTTATAAAGTGTCCCACAGTCCTATAATTATGACGATTGTTCTTTGAGAATGGGCTGTTTTCTTTCATAGGACAGAAGCACACAACCTCCAGGTGTCCCTTGGAGAACAGAATCTCAATAGGAAAGAGCATCATGAACAGAAGTTTGATGTAGACAAGATCATTAAACACGGACACTATACAGAGCAGGATGGCATCCCATATAATGATATTGGCAAGTTCTTATTTTATGTCATGGATAAATCCCAATCATTACCATTAGGAATGGGAAGAAGGAAACTTTAGCTGAACCCTAAGGTTAAATATTGAGAAGAAAACACTAAACTATATTGTGATTAAGTTACAATTAAGAAAGCTAGAAAATACATCTCCAAACATTTATGTGATGGGGTTTTTTTTAGTATAAATATATTTATTGCTTTTACTGTTTTATTTTTAAACAAAGTTAGGAGTGTAGAGATGACTTTTTAAATGTAAGCATATAAATACATTAATGAAATAGATTGGAAACATTTAGAAAAAATGAACAAATACTCAGCTCTGACCCAGAGAAATTAGAAGAAATCTTATCAGCAAATTTAAGGCTATAGTGCAATTTGATGGCTACATGATTAACTGTGCCTTAAAATATTGTATTTTGTTCTCCTTTTACAGCTTTGTTGAAATTAAAGCCAATTGATGGGCACTGTGCTGTGGAAACAAGTTATGTTAAATCTGTGTGCTTGCCTGATTTTACGTTCCCTGATAACACAGAATGTTACATATCAGGCTGGGGAGAAACAGAAATAAGTAAGCCATGACAATGGGAGCAATTAATTCTAACTAATATACAGACAAGATCAGAACTGATATTTGCTAGGTTTGTACAAACCACTCCACAAGGATCTTCTCTATGAACAAAGGCTCCCTCTGCATTTTCACCTATCAGCTCCAAAATAGCTGCAGTCACTTCAAGTTCCAGAGAGCTGCTTTGGTATCTTCCAATAGTCATCTGGTGTGCTGCAATATAGTGCACTGTTTTCTTTCTTCTCCCAACCTTTTTTTTCCACCTTCTCCTACTCCTGCCCAGAGTTCTCTGGACCCATCAGGTTTTGCTGAATGCTGCCACTTGTGTGATGACAAGTGTGCTGTGCCTGCCTGCAACTTCAACTTTAGGGGTCTAGGAGAGGATGGAAGAGGGTTTCCAGTTCATCACATTGGAACCTGGCTCTTTCCAATTTTCTCTTGACTTCTGGATGTGGACAGGTTTGTTAGTATCAGAAAAAATTCGCAAAATGAAGTTTGGTACTAAAATAATGTCTATTTTTGAGTCATTAATGGACTGTACAAAGTATGGAACTGAATGTAACTTATAGATGTAACATATAATCTTAGCAGAAAGGCATTAGTAATGCCCAAAGAAAAGCCCAATTTTATACATTCATGACCATTATTGATGTAATGAATCAATACAATTTGACTTAATTTGTCCTATATTTTATCTTGAAAGTTTAACATGCTAGAAATTTTAATGTCTTGTTGACATAATATAATATGTAGCTTCAAATGCAATAAGTATGCTTTTAAAATGTTAAATATATATAAATCTAAAGTTAACAGATGATAGATAATCTATAGAAATCTCTTCTTTCCTTCCTTCCTTTTCTTTTTCGTCCTTCTTTTTCTTTCTTCTGCTGTAACATTTGTTAAATTCAGTATTTTACCAATCATTTTTGAAACCAGCCACAAAAGAGAAAAGAGAAGACGGAAAATAAGTTTCTTGTGTTTTCTGGCATTCATTCTATAGGTGAATCATCTCATCAGCTATTAGATGCCAAAGTAAAACTGATTTCCCAAAGGCAGTGTAATGCACCAAATGCATATAATAGCAGAGTGGTGGAAAGCATGTTTTGTGCTGGAAGTCTTCAGAGAACAAGAGCAGATACTTGTCAGGTGTGTTGCTTTTTGGTATTTGAACACTGGTTTCTCTTTAAACCAAATGTAAACAGAGTATACATGACAAAAACTGGCAAGGTGCTACATATGTACCTACTCCTTATATCAGATAACATCCCCCAACTTCCTTCCCTTCAGCATAATACCAAAGGTATCTACAGGTAGTCCTGAACTTAGAAAAGTTCATTTAGTAACTATTCAAAGTTTTTTACACTTACAACCATTGTAGCATCCCTATGAGTGATATGATCAAAATTCAGATGCCTGGCAATTGACTTGTATTTATGACTGTTGGTCTTTCCCAAGGTCAGGTGATCACCTTTTGTAACCTTCAACAAGCAAATTCAATGGAAAAGTCATATTCCTTTAATAACTGTTACTAATTTAACAACTATGGCAAGAAAGGTCGTAAACTGGGCAAAACTCATTTAACACAATGGAAATTTTGTGCTCAATTGTTGTCATAAGTTGAGGACTATTTGTATTAGACTGCTTGTTATTTTATACTTGATGGTTGATTCTGAAAGGCTACATACAATTTTGATCATTGTCAGTTCTGTGGCCAGTTGTTCTACCTGTCATTTATTTGGTCTTCTTTGTATTTAATTTTAGTTCCAGATAACCTTCTAAATCTAATTTGATACTTTACTTTTAAAACCATCACTTTTGAATGCAATGATTTACATTTCAAAAAAAAAAATCATGAACTTATTTAATCCAAGATCCTATTTCTTTATCCCTGCCATTGACAAATTGAAAAAAATATTATTCTTCAGGAGCAAGTATAAAATGTTAATTTTTTTTATTGTTGTCAATGCTAATGGTCTTTTTTATCTTTTACATTAGGGCGATTCAGGAGGTCCCCTAACATGTGTTACCAATGACACTTACTATATTTATGGAATTGTGAGCTGGGGAGATCAATGCGGATTAAAAAATAAACCAGGAGTTTATACTCGGGTGACAAGATTTCTCAACTGGATTAGAACAAAAATTGCACGCGAGTCTAATTCTCAAAACTAAGAATGGTAGTCACGAAGACAGGTAGTTGAAATAATTCATCCTTTCAAAAATGTCATCCTTTTCTCTCTTCTATTTCAGTATTGAAGTATTTTTAGCCAAATTTCTACCCAGAAATGAAAACTCTTAATGCCTTAATAGCATTTTGGCTAGAATTTGCTTGGTTATATGATGGCCAAGTAAATATGCAACCCTTTGTTTAAAGTAATGTACAAAACTTATCTTTTATATTGTTGTATTTTTAATCATTTGAGGTTTTAAGGCTATAAAATATTGTCATAACCCTCATAATAAAAACTAGTTGCATTGAGAATTGTTTGTCCAGAATACCCCAGTCTTTTAACAGGGAAGTTAGAATTTACATTCAGAAACCAGGAGATATGCAGTGCATATAAACCTCAAAACTCACACATTTGACTCAGAAGAACCTATTTATATTTGCTTTCAAATCCCCAGAATTTCCTTTTCATTCATTTCTATAAACATTGATTGAATGACAATAAATCTCCAATATCAGTAATCACAGATGATCAAGCCAGCTGATCAAATGATACGCTATTTTATATAATAAACATCTTTCAGTAAAAGAAGATATAGAATCTAAACTGACTTCTGCACAGATGGGAGATTAAACTTTTTCCTCTAGCCTCTGCATGTCTAATTTTCTCTATCTTTTACTCAGGATTTTTTTTTTAAAGGAGGCAAAAGTGCCCACTGGCATGAATTAATTTAGCCACATAGGAATTCAGAAAATGAACATCATTAACAAATCAACAAAATAACTGTAGACTTTTTGGAAAGTGATTCCACTGATTTATTTTCAGTACAAATATATATTTTTTCCTTTCAGCAAATCATGGTTCATATATTTTTAGTACAAAGCTGAGCCTGCCAGTCATCTAGTACTAATCTGCTATCATAAATACTACATTGTATAATACATAGCTTTAAAAAAATCAGATACAGTTTTTCATGTAAAAGTATAAAGTTTAATATTAAATCACTCCTTTAGGGTTTGCAAAGGTCTTTTTTTGTAATAACTATTTCTGAACAGTGCACTACTCTGCTTCTCAGGAGATTAGAATAGCTACATGATTTGGAAAGCGAGCTGAAAAATATATGCATTTTCATTAGACAGATGTCAGTGTTTCTGTTCATTTTTTAGTTAGTTTCATTTTTCTTCTCTTCATTTGCAGAACCTCTGCTGCATCAGGATTCAGCTGGACTTGCTGCGATCCTTCTGTTATTTTCTCCTGCAATTGCAATAGATTCAGAACGTTACCTCCTCACAAAGACTATTATGTCATTCCATTTGTAGCAATTATAGTGAACAGTATATCATATTCTAAAGTAGCAGAAATAATGTTCTATAGCTACTTTTCTAAGATTGGGTACTTCAACTGTATAAAACTGTTTACTATATATTTATAACTTTGTTGTTCCAAATTTCTTCCAGGGATAACCTACGGATCTTCATGACTCTAACAACGACTTTCAAGTAGTGGTTTAGATCCAAACCAGCTGAAATGCTAAGATGTTAATAGACCTGGTACAGCTTCAGCTGTCCTTATTTCCAATAATAGTTTAGGAGATGACCCAGATGCATACTGGAATCAGATCTGGTTCCAACAGATCCTGTATTCCTATGTTCCAGTGCCATTTATCATCCTATTTCCTTTACAATGGCTCTGTAGTAGAGGCTGGATGATCAAATACAATAATTATTGTACCTAATTTCTAAAATTTACAATGAATATTGCTTAGATTACCTATCCATTCACTTACATAATCTGGATCATGCTGTTCCTGAGTTTCTTGACATTCTGTGTCCTGAGCATATGCCAGCTCTGCAGCCCTTCTGGCCATTTCCACTCTGTAAGAACCTGGAGGAGTCCAGCCAATCCCTTTGATCCAATTCAAATCAGATTTGTATTTGACCTAGAAAACAAAATACAGTACTAATTGCATGGAACTTCCAAGACTATAATACTCAAAATCAGACAAAGCAAACCATATATATACTAAAGCCCTAGAAAAGAAAATGGTGACCCCAGGAAACAGGTGTGATAGGCAAGGATAGGTGAAGGAGTATTTCAAGCTATTCTGTGCCACCTTAGATGTTCTCCAAAATCAGGTGCTACGGAGTCCTTCCATCTTAGAATGTTAAGATAAAACTGGTCTTATATACAGAATAGGAAGCCAGATCTTTTCTTTACCTCAGCCATGGAAAACACTTGTGTTTCTTCTTTACATAGAAAAAATGACTTGTTTATTGACAAAAGACCACACACACACTTTGTACAATACAAGAAAATAGTTGCCAAGACAGAAAAGATGGGCAAGACTCAAGATGCCAACATGTATTACAGTCTATTCTTTTTCTTCTTTTTTCTGAAGTGAATATATAATTACAGATGCATAGAGGAATTGGATTTGTTTGGAGGAGCCTTCCTCATGGACTAGTTAAAGTAATTTCTTGGTTTTAGTAGTGCTATTTTTTATTTCGTAAATGCATTAGTATCTCTCTCTCTCTCTCTCTCCCTATCTCTCTCCCTCCCCCCCCTGTGTGTGCGCACGCTCTTCCACAAGTGAGCTATGACATCACATCACCGTGGAAACTCTCCCAGTGACTGCACCTTTTAATGCATTTCCTACCTAAGCTTTTGTCCAAAGGTGCTTCTCTTTCACTTCTCATCCAAGAAGCTTCTTTAGTTTTGACATCATCTAACTTCAGTCAGAACTGAAGAAGCTTCTTGGATGAGAAGTGAAATGTCTTTAAGAAAAAACAAAGTCCAGTTGCTTTTTGAAAAAGCACCTTTGCCATAACCATGACTTGGATAACCAAGAATTTCCATAGATAGATATGTTTTCTTAAACCTGATGTATTGGGCCTTACGGAAGATGAAATCCAGCACATTTGAATGGCACAATATCAGAACCACTGACAAGCACATTTGAATGGCACAATATTAGAACTACTGACAACTTTTTAAAATCTAAGCTGATTCCTTAATATAAAGAATTAAATTTGGATTTGAAAATGAATCCATTGAGTAGACATATCCTTGCCTGGATTGGGCTCCTTAGCCATAGACCCTAACATACTTACATCACTTTGTAGTTTGTAGGCTTGTTTGGCATGCCTGAGATTCAGCTGCTCTGGGTCACAGGTGTATTGATGCAGGCGCTGCCTGTAGTTGACATCACTTATTAATTGTTGGCTTTTCTTTGCATGAATAAATCCTGGCTGATCAGTTTGACTTCTGAATTGTGCTCTGTTTCTCAAATAATCCCTTTTATATTGGTTGTCACTCTGGAGGTAGCCCATTTGCAGGAAGTGTCTCATTTTAGGATCATCACGTGCATTGCAAAATCCAATCTGTTGACCTCTGTCCCTTAGGAAAGCTTCTTTGTATCTGAACTAGAGAATATTGAGACAAAGGAATGTTTGTTTCATTACACAATCATATGGAAGCATACCTTCACATAATTTCGTACTATGGCATAAGCATTTTACATGTACGTGCTGTAGCTGATTAGTGCCTCAACGTTAAAATCATCGTACGACATGCTCATTATTTTGGAGAAATTATTTTTAGATTGGGAACATTTCATTGTAGTTGAAGAATATATGTAGAAACATACATTGAAAGCAACAATTGCACATAATTAGACAATTTAAAATAAAACTCTAGGATGAGCTCTTCATTAGAACACCCAGAATCTGGTAACACACACAGGCATAGCAGGAATAGGCAATCTTTTTCAGCAAGGAACCATTCTCTGACTTTGTATCCTACACAAGGTATACAGCTAATTATGTTACTGTACATGCAAATACTACCCAAATTTTAAGAAAAGTTAAAAGATAAAAGGAAATCCGGGTTCCATTGGTATATTTTAAGTTTGTGAAGGCTCAAGGCATCAGTTTTGATTTTTAAAACTCTTCACAAATTCATTAAATAGGCCAAAATGGGCCAAAATTATTGTTCTTGCCTTTGACAAGAGTAGATGTACCTTAATGTTGTCTGTCTGAACAACAGCAAGAAGAGTTAATTTCTCCCTGAACTTTCTCTGTGTTTTTCATTTGACTGATTTAATGACTGATTGAATGATACACTGAATAAATACATACATTTATAAATAAAAACATTTAAACTATTGTGTAATAAAATACAGGCCCAACTGATATAAGTGAAGTATGCTTGAGACAGTTACTCTCTGGGCCAAATGTATACTTGTATTTTTCTATTGTACTTTTGTTCTCTAGCAGTCTCAAGTCTGACAGAGTAGGAATAATAGAATTTGGTCAAATAAGCTCCGTGGAATAAAAAGATGCTAATTATTTCCACAGCATATTAATCATAATTTTTACATATGCAGTTCAATGGCAATATTAGTGAATGCTAATATATGGTTCTGTTCTTATTGTGGGATCTTTATAGCATTGAAAATAGGTTCATTCCTTGAAACTATATAGGAAAAATCAGTGATGATATGCTTGGGCATAAAGGCCTTTAAATGCCAAAAAAAAAAAAAAACACCATCTTGGAATGTTTCATACATCACTGGCAATTTCTCTAGATGCTTTAGCTGTCTGGAAAGGGATGGCATCCAATCTGAAATCATAGCCAGCTGCCCGTGTTTCCTCCCAAGAGGTTTTATATAGTTTCTGCATTGAGAAATGGAAAAGCAAATCAATTAATCTTATTTACATATCTGTTGTGGCTTTATTAATTAATATTTGATTCTATTACAATCATTTATTTATGACTCAAAAGCTAGCATACATCCCTTCACGTTTTCACATACAAAGTACAATGTCCTATTTGAAAAGAGTCACAAAGTCATAATTAAAGTTTGCTTTGATGCATTAGACACATCAATATTGCATTGACATTGCCCCTATTCTGTCTGTTGAAACATTTAGCAGTAGAATTTGGGTTTTACAGCAGAGACATTTCAGTGCTGCATTTCCACTATGTAAAACTTCAAACATTTTTAATACCTTCTGTGCTGTCTCCAAACCCTGCTGCTTCCATCAAAGTATCTAAAGTAGTGAGATGCTTTATAAGAAAGTAGGATTAAGGTATTAGCTAAATGCAAATTATGAGGAGCTGAACATAGGAATGTAGCTGAATACATGGACAGTTTCACACTAGAACAGCTTTTCGTGTGTTCAGCATTGCCACATAATTCAGAGGTCTCGACTCAAATCATCATGAGGACCATGTAACATGAAGTTCTTTGCCCTGAAATCTTCTAAGCAAGTATTATAGCTAATCCATTCAGTTCTCTCTGATTGACTCAGGGCCAACATGAGATAGGCTGAGAAGCCTAGGGTGCCAAGGCTTAGAGGTGCCAATGCAGCTTCTCCTTCTGAATCCTTCTAAAATGCAAATCCTTGCAGATAAGGATGCTGTATACCCTTCCCTGGGTTACATTTCTATCATCCACAACCAATATATAGTTTTTAAAAATGAGCTTTGTGAACTCAGTGCCCTTTAAAAGCCTTGCTGGGGATGCAAGCAAAGTGGCTGATCCCATCATCTCAAACCCTTGGAAAATCACTGTCCTACAGTCTCCTCAAAAGGAGCAGCCAACTGGAGCACATGAGGAAGATCTCCCACCCCCTCCTTATTCACAGAAGTTTCAGTAAATCAGTCTACTCATCAGTTCCTTGATCTTTACATAGTCATTAGCTCTGATTTCACAAAACCAAGGCACCATACTCCCTCAGAAGTCCATTTTTATTCACAAATGCCATGTCCATGTACATTCACAAATGCTTAACTCAGATTGAGAAAAGATGGTCAATTTCCAGAAAGCCAAGATTTACAGAAAATAGGCTATGGATTATCATGTTTCTCAAGCCGTAAAATGGATGCTGCTGCACCAGTGCATAGCAAAGCAAGGCCTAAATCTGGCTCAAGCTCTGATGATCTTGCTTTCTTGCTTTTCTATGTTGCCTCAGGTGAAAGGAAGCCCTTCCCAGGGTGATGCCACAGTCTGCCATGATAGGGTTTATATGACCAGTACCAGGTGATGACCCAGGAATATCTCTGATATAAGAATAGAGGAAAGGTACTTTCAATGTCCTCTAGTTGCTCTGTGAAATAATAGTAGCATCTTAAGCACTGTTACAATGGTAGACTCTTCCATTACAACCAGAGAGAGCAGCCTACTTTTAGAGGTAGTAGGACATGGATGATGATGTTGCACAGCTATCTCATACTTTGCTGCCATCTTTACACATATGTTGTCTCAAATAACCACTCACTTTGTCCTGCACTCATCTTCTCAGGTTACTTAGATTAATGAATATTTTTCCACTTTGTAGTAAATTAATATAACCTCCATGGTTTTGAATGGGCCTGAAATTCTAACACATTTTGTTCCTATAGTCTGGTTAGTAGTATGTTTGTTTAAAATAAGATGGCATGGAACACAAACAAGAATGTATCCAAAAATTATAAAATAAGGCCTGTTTAAAGAACAGTTTTAGATAAATCTTTAGGTTTGTTTGCAGAACTTATATTAGAAGAATATGGCATTCTCTCTCCCAGTATGGATGAGATCCAAATCTAGACCCTTTTCTCAAGTTCTAGTCATTTGTCATTTCCTTCTGCCTTCTCTCTCTTTCTCTCTCTCTCTCTCTCCTTTTCTTTCTTTTAAATCTGCAAATCTTTGGCCTTGCTGTTGCAGTTCATTCTTAACACAAATCCTTTGATTCAAAACCCCATGCATCATTTTACTTTATCACAGTTTGCACAGTTTTTGCACTCATCCTCACACATTACATTCATTTGATTTATGGCTATCTTTGCAGCTTTACAAATACCAACATGGTTTTTTCTTCTTCTTTTTCTCTGTGCTCTGGGGTCAGTCTCCCTCAACAGATTTCTGTGTGTGGCATCTGATCCAATTGTATATCTACCGAAAGCAGTTTCATTTTTAATGAGATGCCCCCAACATCTCCACCTCCTCATGCACTCACTGGCTGTTTCAGTTCAGATACATGCTGATCCATTTGAATGGTCTGAGAAGAAACAGAACATACCCGACATACAACTGTGCCATTCATCTGTGTATGGCAATGCCACTCTAACTGCATGAGCAATAGCTCTCTCTTATTCTTTTCTTCTGACATGAGAGGAAAAGGTTTGCCAGTGTACAAATGCGTTACCTGCTTCTACTTCTTTGTGTGCTGGAGCAGCCTTTCCCGCATTGTTCTCTGCTATTTTTATATTCCAGTAATTGATAAAACAGGTGACTTCATGGAATTATTTGCATATCAATTTTTCACATGACTATGCATATAATTTAACTGTTCACAATGAAACCTGGTCAATTTATTGTTACAGGCTGTTTTAATCTGTGAAATTAGTCTATGCCATTTAATGGCAGGCAGCAGTATTCTTTTACATGAATGAAGGCAAAGATATGTGTCCCAGGATCTAATCTGTGTACTTTCTGGAGAGAGAGAAGTTTCCTGAGGATGGGCTCCAGCATGAGCCCAAAAGCTTGGTCTCAGCGACCAACTCAGATCGGATCCTGCAATATTCTTTTACCTGTAGTATAGTTCCAAAACTATATTACTTGAAATAGCTTGCATATAAGGCAAGTAATCCTTATCGTTGTACTGATTATGTGATTAACTTCCAAATGAAACAGAACAATTACTTACATCACTGATGTGGAGAGCATTGAGACGTGCCCTAATGAGGTCAGGGCGGTCAAGCGGTAGGGTGTATCTGTGCATGTTGTCCAAATGGCCAGCTCGATATAGCCGCTGTTAGGACAAACAATATTTAGTGTAGTTCCACTATATCTAAAATGCTATTTTCCCCAATACAGAATGCATATAGCACTAACCTATGCCTATGCTTATGCTTACTTTAGGCAAAGCTTTATTTTCACTAAAATGCAAAATGCTATCTCTAGTTTGTTCACGCAAAACTCTTCAGGCAAAATCAGAAGTTTGCTCTTTGTAAAATCTTTGGCACTACACAAAATATGAACGACATCTGTTTACAGAACTTTTGTATATCTGCCTGATAATAAATTCCCATGACACCGTTCACATACTTCTAGAACTCAGATTATCCTACAATGCAAGTGCCAGAAAAGCAGATCTATGATGATCAGTAGTCTTCTAAAAAATCCATGATCATTTGAGATCTGCTTATCTTCAAATGTTAATAGAGTAACTAAGCTATATGCCTGCCCTAAATAACTTGGAAATTTAGAATAAGCAGAATTTATCATCGGTCTGTCTGTAACTGTGGTGGAAATATTATAAGCTTCATTCACTTCTGACAGGCAGGACAAATTTATGGACTGAGAAGTAATGAATTCTAAATGTGTATCTTCTGGTTCATAGAGTTCAATGTTGCAGTAAAAAACTTCCTAAAGTCCAATATATAAATTAAGGATAAATTACTACCCTTGAAAATTCACAACGTATTTTGCCACTGTTATTTTCTGCAATTTACTGCACATCAGACAGCCAACAACAATCGATTTATTTGCAGTAATAACATTTACTCTAATGAAATGGACACAATTCATATTATGTGAGGCTGAGAACTATTTTTATGACCTACATCATAAATACTTAACTTACATCATTGCACTGAATGTAACTATTCTTTGCATGGAGGAAGTCCAGAGAGTCTGTAACAGTCGTGAACTTGAGATGATTTGGTTTCTGACGATATTTTGTCTGCAAACAGAATTAAGGGCAATAATGATGAAGTATATAATAAAGAAGATTCTATACAAGGTTGTCATTTATAACGTATCTTTTTGATTATAGGTTTATTGGAGTCTAATAGATTTTGTGTGTATAATATAGCTATTAGCCCTACTAGGTAAACCAGACCAGGAAATCAGTTTCAGTCCAGGCTTCCTTATTAGAATGATTGTATAAGGAAGCATCTCGATGGCATACAAATATTATAGATTGTCAGTCCCATGAAAGTTAGCAGTACCTCACTGATGAGTTCTCCAGCCTTCTTCACATTTTCTATATGAGGGGATCTTAGAGGCATCCAGCCAACTCCCTTCATGCAATTCAGATCAGATTTGTAGGAAAACTATCAAATAAAAACAAAAACAAAATGTGAGAATGTATAACAGGATATGATCCCTGATTTGTATTCATATTTGAATATGACATTTATGTTTTCTGAGACACTGGTGTGATTTTTTTTAATATATTCATCTGTCACTTTTGGAATAAATAATGTATCACTGACAAATTTAGGAATTTGTGGGCCATCTTTTCAGATATGCTTCCTTAATTAAACTGATACAGAGAATAATCATGACAGGCAAAAAAAAAGGTGTGAGAACAGAAGCAATTTCTGACTTCCTGCTAGCTTCCCCATTAACTTTAATTGTGGAAAGCTAAAAAGAAGCATTGGAAATCTCAATAATGTAACAGAGGCTGTCCACAGCAGATGGTCAATACTACTGGTCTAAAGAATATTGATTGATATTTCAATCTTGCAGGAGTAATGTATCTTGGATTTTGAATGCCTTCTTTAAGTTAGCCTATTTGAGATACATTGATTAAAAAAAGGAGTCATTGCCCTATGGTGCACTCTAAATCAAGCAATCAAACTTGTATGTTGCCCATCTCAGCAAAGGCGACTCTAGGTTGCAAACAGACTTTATAGTATAAACAGACAGGAGAGTTGTAGTAGTATAGATGCTTATATCAAAAGATACATCTTGAAATATGCTGCTTCAAACTTTGCTCAGCAATACAATCAATTTTATCAGAGGATGGTCAGAAGTCATTGATCAATGAGTGCAACTATCTATGATTGTCTTTATACAAATCTTAGTATATACACCTATACAAATGCTATAGCATCCTTTTAAAAGGAATGAAGTAGCCCTTAACTAACTAAGTTAGTATATAAGTTAAGGGCTGCTTCACTATAGTGTAACTTAAAGCACAAAATTGCTTTGTTTTAGTATATTAGCTATGCTAGGGAAGAATCCAAGAGTCATTCTGCAATGTTATCATTAGCTGTCATTGAAAATATCCAGTTTGGTAAACTCTTTTAAACTGCATTCCAATTTGAATTTGGAATCTGTCAAATGTACAGTGAAGTATGAAAAAAATAGATATGCTTTTACTTTAATCTAGGCTAAACCTTCAGTCAATAGTACTTCCTGTAGTATTTATGTCAATATCCTATGTATTAATTCAAATCCAAAACTGAATTAATATAATCCTTTAGCATAACTTCTGAAAAAACATTCTGAATTTATTAATCAACCCTGTCCTTTAGAATGTACAGGTGCAGAAAAGCTTTAATATAGTATAATTTTATAGTTATTATAGCCTATTTATTTAGTAAAGTTAGCAATATTTAATTTGATTCACCCTGCACTGTTCTGTTATTGGGTATCCAAGATAATTGTCCAGGTGTGCATTACCTCACTCTGAAGTAAATGAACTCTTTTGGCCCACTTCATCCTCAAGTCTTCAGGGAGCACTGTGTATTGATGCAATCTTTTCCTGTACTCCTGGTCACTGATGAGATTCTGGGCTTTTCTAGCATGAACTAGATTAACCATGTCCATAGGGAGATTGTACTGAGAACAGATATTTCTCGAGCTTTTCTTATATTCCTGTTCACTCTGTAACTTAGCAGCATGCAAGCAGTGTAGCAGATTGGTGTCATCCAGAATGCTTCTGGCACCAATGAGCTTGCCCCTTTCGGAAACGAAGTTATGCTTGTACTGTAGCTGTGATGGAAAAGAAAACGGGATTTATCTTGCACCCCTGCATATTCTCATTCTCTCTCTCTCTCTCTCTCTCTCTCTCTCTCATACACACACACACACACACACACACACACGTATGGTATTCAGCTTTGTTCGGGTATTTTCCCACGTCATTATAGTTGTGCTTTTAAAGTTGTAGCAACCTTTCGGCAGAATCTCATCGGCCATCATCAGGCTTCTGTATTGTGTTTGTCTGTGAGTCAGACTTTCACAGCCATTTCTGTTTTAAATTTGGGGCTAGCCTCCTGCTGTGCCAGAATGGTTTTTTCTTCATCCTGATTGGTTGGGAGTCTTGGTCTGTGTTTATTGGTCTTGGAGTTTACTGGGGTCTGCTTGATTGGTGTTTCTAATATCTTCTGTCTGTTTTGTGGATTTTTTTGTCTTGATTGGCTGGCAATATTGTATGAAGTCCCCTGTGCATCATGCCCTGCCACATACATTGGACAGACAAATAGAAGAATAAGTACCCGCCTGGATGAACACAAAAATGCAGTAAAAAACTCGAACATGCTTCCTCACTAGTCCAACACATGAAAGCAACAGGTCATAGCATCGATTTCAATGGCACCAAAACCCTAGCCACTATAGAAAACCCCAGCTACAGAATTATCAGAGAAGCCATAGAGAATGAAAAAAGACCTGAAAGCATGAATAGAACAGATGATTCCACCAGACTGTCAATTATTTGGAAGCCTGCACTCACAAACAAAAAAAATCTCCATACCACAAGCCAGGCAAACACCTGGGCACAAACAGATACCTCCAGCTCAAACACACCCAACCAGGCACCCAGATGAAACCTAGCTTCCTAATAAATGATAGCCATCCATTTACTCAGAGTCAAGCTGCACCAAAAGCCTCCAATACAGGAAACACAATGTTGCCAGCCAATCAAGGCAAAAAAAGCCACAGAACAGACAGAAGATATTAGAAACACCAATCAAGCAGAACACAGCAAACTCCAAGACCAATAAACACAGACCAAGACTCCCAACCAATCAGGATGAAGAAAAAACCATTCTGGCACAGCAGTAGGCTAGCCCCAAATTTAAAACAGAAACAGCTATGGAAGTCTGACTCACAGACGAACACAATACATTAGCCTGATGATGGAAGATGAGATTCTGCCGAAACGTTGCTACAACTTTAAAAGCACAACTACAATGACGTGGGAATATACCCGAACAAAGCTGAATACCATACATGTAAGTACCCACAAAAACTTAAGAAAACATATATATATATATATGTGTGTGTGTGTGTGTGTGTGTGTGTGTGTGTGTATAAAAGGAAAGTGTTCACTGCTACGAACAATTCAAATACATGAAAGAGACATCACATATTTTATTGGTGTTGTGTTTCTGTTCACTTTTCATCTTTTACATGTCAAAAAACTGGCTCTGATCAGCATGTGCCAAGAGAAATTGTATTGTATGAACAACAGGACTGTATACGTGAAAAAGTGAGATTTTGTAGAAGTCCTTTCAATGGTTAAGTATTTGAGAAACTTGCTGCTAGTAGGAAATCTGGAACAAGACGACTATGAGGTGAAGCATTATACAGGTGAGAGCATCTGCATCTGTTTTATTTGTATGCTGCCACATTGGTTTTTCAGTATCATCAAAGAGATAACATGTTCATAAGCATATCTCAGCATGACTCAGGCTATGTTTTGTTTATCTCAAAGTTATTTTGATGTACCCAAAATACCTATTGTTATGCAAAAGATGCTATGTTTGAATGTAGCCTGGAATATATGAAATTGCCTAGGGAAATGGCACTTGCATGAAGTCACTGGCATTAAGGAAAAGGGTTCAAAATATCTCACAATAACCAAAGAGAACAAATCTACAAATTGTAGGGGTACCCCTGCTGCTCTGAAAAGTAGCATTCTTGTGATAGTGAAAGTTTGAATGTTGCTCATTGGTGGCCTTATTTCTTGACTTTAGGGAGAGAAAGTGTGCATTTTGTTTCAGGAAAGTGAAGAATTTAATTCCCATACAAAAAGCATTGGGCTTCTAAAAGCAAAAATCAATCAGTCAAATGTAGATGTAAATCTATCTTCATTCCTCTTAGCTGCTTTACTGAAATACCCAAGGAAATAAATGGATTATCTATTTACACGGATCGATATTATTTTGGATGTTCTGGGTAAATCTGAATAGAACATACAGAGATATTTTTCTTTCCCCTATTCCCATTGCAGGAGCTTCAGGCCTGCTTTGTTTCTGATTAACAGTGACTTTTTTTAAATTCACACAAAGAATCTCATTCATAAGTAATACATTCTGTCTCACATCCTTGTCTCACATGATTATGGGGCTGCTTTAATTCAGTAAAATCTGCTTTCTACAATGTATTACACGAAGTTAACAAAAATTAGGCAAGATGGAAGGCTGCATAATTCAACTCACATCACTGGCAATTTCTCGGGAGGCCTTGGCAGTCTGGAAAGGGATAGCTTCCATTGTCAGTTTATAACCCTGAGCACGAAGATTATGCCAAGATTCCCTGTATTTTGCCTAAGTGGAAATGGAAACTTTAGATTTCTTGGTTAAATTTTAACTAAAAACTAAATTAACAAAAGGAATTTGTTTGAGTCACAATACAAGTTCCAAAATAATTCCCATAAGTTTTAGTCACTTGTAGAAAGATGCTTCTTCAAATCAAATCAAATAAAAACAATGCAATAAACATATCAAATGGTAAATATTTTTATATGAATTGCTTAATTTATATAGGTGTGTAAGGAATAATTACACCTATAAACAATCATGAGCCACCTATAAAACATATATTTGAGGTGAATAGAAATTTTCACACATATTATTTTTGCACGCATTTATTCATTTTCTGGGCTCCTTTTATTTCCACATTACTATAGGAAGGAAAAAAAGGTGAAAAATTCAGGATAGATAATACTTCTGCCCAAATATTAATATCCCAAAACAACTGCAATATTATAACAATCTTACCACAGAATTTTTAATTCTGAAAATTCACTACATTGGAACCAATAGTCAGCATAAAGACTGTTTTCAATAAAAAGTGACAAAAACTAATATGCAAATTTAAATGCAGCAAAGCCAATGAATTAAGATACTGATGATACTGATATAATAGATGCAAAAGAGAATTAAAATTATCAGCTCTCAGAGCAATTCAGATTTTCCTGCTAAAGAATCATGGCAGCAAATATAAAATACAACACATAGGTAAAAATTGTAATAAATAGATAAACCACAACAACTGTGACAGAGGATCAAGGACAGAAGATAATAATTACATTTCATACATATCAGTAAAATGGGTAAAACTGTCAACCTCTCCTGTATAGAATCAGAGCTTAAAGGCACTTATTAAGGGGAAATATGGCCAAGATTAAAGTAAGCACTTACCTCACTAATGTTCACTGCATTCATTTTTGCCCTTTGAAACTCAGGAAGTCCCAGGGTTACCCTACAGTGATGCAAGGTGTCTTCTCCTGCTGCTTTGTACAGGCGCTAGGAGAGTTATTTTTAAAAGACAACAAAAATTCCTTTTAAATGTTATTTAGTTACATTTCTTAAATAGTCACAGGTTGGATTTGTTTTGAACATGTATTTCTACATACCACAAGTTTTAAATAAAATATGGGTTTTATTTTAACGGAAATACATGCATACATATGTACGTACATATGTACAAAAATGTTTCCCATGTTTGCACAGAATATGGAACTATCTCCAGTCCAAAACTGGAAAGCTTTGATCAAGAATCTTCACAATTGAAGAGAATCAAGAGCACCTAATGAAATTGTAATCATTTTTCTCCATGCAGAAAAAGAGAGGAAAACAATGCTCCCTACTGCACTGGCGCAATTGCTGTGGCTTGCAACAACTATTTCCTATCTGAGGGAGATGGGCGGTTTAGAAATGCGATGGATGGATGGATGGATGGTCTGTTTTCTTCACAGTAGCTACATCATTTCCACCTACATTGCATGCTCAGAATAGAAGAGGGATTTGCCAATGTCCTACTTTCCATTTTTATTCTGCCACTATTATATACACAATTATAATATTGTGTACATGAAAGGGTTAATGCTAATGGAATAACAGGCCATTCTGGGGCAGTCTCCACTAATAACTTTGGAAAGTTTCTGTGCCTAGATCTAAGCATACAAATAATGTAATTTGTTGTAATTTGTTCACGTCTTGTTCTTTCTCTGTTTTTTCCTGCCTTTTATCCCTTTTTTTGCCAGCAAATGTTTTTGATGTTTGCTGATGTTTAATAAATAAACATCAAGCTACATTTTTGTTAGCTGTACTGAATAGTACGCATGCTTCCTCTGATCTGGATATCAGGAATGACTGGGGATGTACTGGGTGCAAAGTGTCCACAATAATTCAAAGAGAAAGGATGAGGGCAGATGAAACAAAATTTTAGGGTGTCAATCATATCCATCCTTTTATTTTTCAATGGCACAGAAGTGCCATTGTATAGGAGTGACCTTGTTTGGTCTAGTGGTTAAGGCAGCGTGCCAGAGAGTGTAAGTTTTAGTCCAGCCTTAAGCATGAAAGCTGACTGTGTGATTTTGAGCTAGTCGCTTTTAGCCTATGATGTCAGGCTTGGGTGAAAAGTTGGTCACTCAATTCCTGTTCCCACAAATGGATCATCACTCAGTTGATCTGAAAAAGTGGGTCTGTGCTTGAAGAGAAAAGGCTGAGGTTTGTGGATTGTTCCTAAAGCAGGTGTATTTTTCTTTTACCCTTGGAATAAAATGAAAATAATTACTTCAAGCAGCTGATATAGTTAATGGACTCAAGCCTTGGATCTCCCAAAATGGAAAAGATTTCAATCTGGATGCTATTTTTGAACCTCCTGATATTGGAAACATTTTCGTCTGCATGTGTGTGTAAAGAGGAAGGTTTATTCCTTGTACTCAGTCAACAAATACACAGCTGACAGAGTTTTTAAAGGACAGAAATAAATAAAAATAAATAAAATCATAATCCCATGCAAATAGCAATTTTTATCAAAAAGGCAATGTACAATTTCTCTCATGCAAAATAAAAGCATAATCTGACATTGCATCACCTGTTTTTTTTTACTAACATTTATATTTAAAAGATTTCAAAATCTTCTACCCATTAATCTGATTTATTATGTTATATGTAACAATATATTCTGTATTTACTATTTTGGATCAATCAATATTTTGTTAACTAATTAATCTTATAAATTGAAAAAACAATCAAATGCTAAAAAAACAAGTTCAAAAGAATGAATCTATAAACTGCAGAAATAAGACTGCATTAATCCATGATTTCTAAAGCCTTATTTCATGACATTTCCACAAACATTCAATGTTACTTTGCTGGGGAGGGGAACATAGCAAGGAAGTTTAGGGGACCAAACATTTTCCTGATGCGGATTTTATTTTATTTTCATTTTAATGGTGAAATGAATCTGCAAGGGTCTTCTGAATAGTTTGAGAAATCAGAAGCAACATTCTTGGCCTCTGGTGCTTTAAGTGAGTTTTTGAACACATTGATGTTAACTATCTTTGAGACTGTCCTTCCAGTATATCCTTTTGCATTATGGCTGCTTTCAAGAACAAAAGAGAAGTCATTTGCACGAATCCCTATGAAATAACTGCTCTGATTTGTTTTCTTTGTCAGTCTGATTGACAAAGAGATATTAAAAGTTTCTCTAGGAATAATAAAAATGATCTCACAATGTTAAAGGATAAATTGATGGTGCTTTCCTCCTCCCCCCCCTTTTTTTTTGTTTAGTGTATTACACTTCTCAGAGCATGCTGCTTTCCTCCCTCTCCATATATTGCATTTTAAAGAGCATGTTTTCTGATCCAAGTTAGCAGAACCTACCTCATTAGCAATCATATTGCTGAATTTTGCATGAAGGAGGCCAGGAGTGTCTGTCACTGATGTGTACTTGAAGGAATTTGCTTGCTGACGGTATTTATTCTGAATTCACACAAGGCAGACAAAAGCAGAAATGCAAGATAAGGACATTAAATTTTCAATGCTACCGATTTGACTAGTCCTTTACACAGAATATGTTACATGCAGCAGTCTATTGACCTGTACAGTATATCATTTCAATCCCTTGCCTCCATATCATTAACTAGACCTGTATAGTAAAATCAAGAGACTCCCTAAAAATTAAACAAGGATTACAGTAGTTGTTGGCCTTACTTCTTTTGAACTACATCTTAGCACTTTGGTGGAAATGATAAACAACCAAATATTTTATACACTTTTTATACAATTTTTAAACAAAATTATTAAAACTTCCAGAACTATCCAAGTAAAGTAGAAATGATTATTCCACATTAAATATTATTGTGACCTTTTTCTTGGTTAAGCAATCATTTCAATGATCTTTAGACTGGAAATTATACAACCCAGTTTTTGGCTTAGTTGGTTTGGTCCACCCATCAGTTTGTTGTGGTGCTGTAGAGCCTCAAATGTATGATTCAATTCAAAGTAGATTTGATCAGATAATCTCATCACTTAGAACCTTTGAACTGAATCAATTCAGATCTAATATTTTTACTAAAATTCCTGACAGAAATAAAACACTTATATTAGAGCTAGAAAAAAATGGACCTTTTTATCAATAGCAGAGAGATTCTATATTCATACAAGTCTAAAGGGCTTCCAAAGGATAAATAGGCCGGCTGGTTGGGTTTGTTTAGTCATATATCATAACACATATGGAATAGGACATGTCCCAAACACCAAACACCTCACTCACCCTGCCTTTTATGCCTTTTTAAAGGCTTTTTAATCCAGAGAGGCTTCCTCAGATGGGAATTAAAAAGAACTGTGAGCAAGAAGAGGACAAGAGGGAAGAGGACTTAGTTATCTTCACCTCTAGGATCTTTTGACGAAAAACATTTACACCATGTTTATACATGAAAGGAAATGACATGCACATTTTTAAAATGTGGTTTCTGCCATTATATCTATTTTGGTCTTTATTTTGCCTTATTATTGACCCATTCTTTTGCTCTGGAGAAAAACTTAAGAGTGAGATGAGAGAGAGAGCAGGAGAGGGAGAGAGTGCATAATAATGAGGAAGGCCACTTATATCAAGTCACTTGGGTTTTGAGAAATGTGATTCTATGTCTAATATAAAAACACAGTCTTCCTTTCATCTGGAAAGGAGCATTTCCTTCTACAAAGGATCACCCTAATGTACCAATCACTTGGGTCCTGATTACAGAACAGAAAGTTTCTGAAAGTAGTTATCAAGGTCTGGAAAACCTTGAACTCCATTCAGTTCATCCAGGATATAAATTGAATGATCAAATAAAGAAGGAGGGTGGGAATGAGAGCCCACCCTTAATCAGGAAGCCTCTTTGTCAGTTTTACTCAGACATCTAGCAAAACCTTGTTTGTAGTGAAGAAATCAAAAACATCTTTTGTTACCTCACTGATGAGTTCAGAAGCTTTCTTCTTTGTTTCAATCTCCAAGGCCCCGGGTGTGATACAGCCAACTCCTCTCATAAAGTTCAAGTCAGATCGGTATGAATTCTATGAGAAACCGATCAAAACTAATTGATAGCATAAAACTAAGAAGTGGTTATTCAAATGCTTTCATTATAAATAACTTCTGCTGCATGAAACATGTATAACCTTTAACCACTGGAATTGAATTTCCTTATTTCATGATCAGAATAACAGAGTTTGAAGGAACCTTGGAGGTCTTCTAGTCCAATCCCCTGCTCACGTAGGAAACCATTTCAGATAAATGGTTCGTTTAAAAACAGTTCATTTACATGCGCAAAACATTAGCCCAGTCTTGTCTGCCTGCCTGCCTGCCCGCCCGCCTATCTATCTATCTATCTATCTATCTATCTATCTATCTATCTATCTATCTAT